TGAAAGGTTTTTACAGTGACTTGTGAGCCAGTACATCACTCTTTCTGAAGCTCTTCTGCAGACAGAACTCCCTTTGAAGTCAATGGGAGTTCCGTCTGAATAAGGACTTCAGGATTTGGGCCTCAGGATATAAATGCTGCGATCAATCTTTTGAGCATAATGAATAACATTTTCTTGGCTTTCAGAACTACACTAAGCCAAATAGTAGCCCCAGGGCTTCAAAATGGGTTAAACAGGAGAATCTGCTTTGTTTCAACCTACATCTTTATTTAGCTTTCACATCAGCATAGTCCCCACGCCTAGTACCAACCTGCCCAAAAAAATAAGGCCAGATGTTTCAATAGTTAGTTTTACAATCAAACCTATCATGGCACGAGGCACTATGAAGCAGTTGTGTTCAGTGAAGAACAAACATACTTGCTGCAGACTGACCTGTTTTGAAGTTGAGACCTGAACTTACAGTCCGGAAAAAAGGACTTGAAGGCTGACAACTTTATTAATTATGTGACAGCGAGGTCTGTAGGCACTGATTTTGATCAGAACATCATAATACTAGACACTGTGCAAACGTCAGAGCTAGTGATACAAAAAGTCGACAGTCTGGGTAGGCAAGACAGATACTCCCTGTCTCCTATTCCTTGCAATTACTCTGACTTTATAGATGGAAAGTTCAGCTAGGGAGAGATTATGTGACTTTCCCAATCCCTCTCACAAAGTCTACAATGAAAACTGCCGGCCAACGTGGTGCCTTACTGTCGAGACTATGCTCCCCTTTTTCCACAATGATAACAGTATATTATAGGCCTTAAAAAATCATAGTTTCCTGTCCCCATCCCAGACTTGGCTGAACTCCAGCACCCCTAGCCACCTCCCTGAAACCGAAGGCCTAGGTTCTTCCCCTTACCAGTGATGAGAGCTTTGCCAGTGCTGGTTTTGGTGGCAGCAAGTCCAGATGCAGTGATAAATGACACCCTGATACGGGCAGCTGTCAGAGTGAGCAGCAGGGCATCAACAGTGCTGGGCAGAGCAAAACTCTCCACCACTTTCAACCCTCACAGGTTATCATGCAACTGATGAATGAAACAAGGTAGAAAAGAACCAAGAGAAAAGATAGACTGAAATAAGAGAAAGAAGGAAAAAATATTGCAAATTCTTGTTGCCTGAACAATTTGCAGGCTCTTACTTCTGTGAAAACGTGGGTGGAGGTGCACAGGTGAATAGCCCAGTTCCTTTCGTGGTGTCCCAGGTCTGATGGTGTCCCTTTAGCATTTTGGTGGAGGAAGTCCTGCAAATTTCTGTTTCTGCCCACACTCTACAGAGGCTAAAAAAAAAGAGTCTAAAAGACCTGTCAATACCACATTGGTATGCACTGCAATGGGAAAATGTTGAAGCCTTCAGGGGTGGATGTATATGGGACTGTCACTAGCAGTCAGAAAAGTTTTTTGAAGAAGATAATCCAAAGCTGCTGAGGGCAACACAAATGGCAATGCATTATCTGCAGTACAAGCCATGGGACTCCCAAGCACAAGTTCAGCAGCTGGAAGAATTTCTCCACAGTATCAATAAGACTGAGGAGAAGGTCTCCACTATATACCAGGTATGGCCTGACACAGATGAACCTACTTAAAAATTTTCAACAAGTGAAGTCTTGTCCAGCATACAACTTGCAGCAGTGATGTAAACAGCCTGCTGATTCAGTTGTATTTGCAGATGGTTTCCAGGATTTCTTCTTTGATTTCTTCTTTTTTCTTTTCGTTTCTTCTTTTATACATCTGGGTAATGAGTTCCCTTCCCTCTCCCTCCTTCAACTAGGTCAAAAAACCTCTGACTTACCCAGTTTCTTCAAAGCCTTGGCTCTGCTTCCCCATGTGAATTTAGTCCAGGTGCTAGGCTGGTTCCTCCCTGGAGGCTTCCCAGTGCGATCCACTCCCTTATCTTGGTTCCTGATCTTGAGGGAAGAGGCAAAACAACCAGCAAGGAGAGGCGCATAGGAAGATACAGCTCAAGACCACTCAGCAGTTCAATACGTCCACCTCAAAGATGAGGACAAAGTAATGTATTTTCCCCTTCAAGTTTAGAAAGAGGGGGTTTTAGTTAGAGCAAAATGGTTCCACAAGTCTCCTCTCCTCCCCCGAGGGTGTGGGACGCTGCTCCCCCAGGGGGCGAGGCGATGCAAGGCACTCAGAGACCCCATCCTGGGGACCTTCAAAGAGTCTCCCTAACGCGGCCCACCACCACCGCGGGGAGCTGGGTGGGCATGGCACAGGCGGGCAAACCATCGAAGGCGAGGGCAACGGAACAGTCGTGCGCAGCACTTCTCGGCTGCTTCCCGGAGGTCCCACGGGGCAGCTCCTTCACAAGCTGGTCGGATCACTGCCACGTGATCCCAGCTGGCAGGGAGCACTCAGCTGTTAGGATCCTGCAAAGTGTGAGATTGTTTTTTGACACCTGCTTCACCTCTCAGCTTGGAAACTCCCTAGGCAATGGGATTTGGTTGCTTATGCCCAGCGTGAAGACTGCAACTTGCCTTTATCTGTGCTGTTGGCACATATCTTTCCTGGGGACATGCATAAGAAGATGGGACTGGAGGAGCTGCTGTGTGATAAATTCAGGCACAATCCCACTTTTTATTTGCCAAAACACCCTCTTCCCTATGATTTGACAACCATAGGATTAAAATTATATATCTCATCAAAGGATATACGTTAAGGTCCTATCCATACTATGAATTGTAACTCCTTTGTACACAGGCATCCTGATTTGCTACAGCAGTAGCTGAGGCAGCCTCTGGGGTAGCACCACCAGAACCAAATTGTGCTCTCTCTGGAGCACAGCAAGCTACGAAATTATTTCCTGAAATAAGCATCTTTCTGCTGACATCCAAGATGAGGCTGACAGTGGCTTCCAGACTGCAGAATGTGAATGAAACTTGTATTCATGCCAGCTGTCTTAGAGATCCAGCACAACACACTGTATATCAAATGGAAGAAGAATTCATCTAGGGAAAATTATTTCAGCTTCCAAAGCAAGACTAAAGAAGGCTAATAAAAATATATATTTTCTTAATGGCCCTTTGTTGCTCTTGCTTTAATCATTAAAAACCTGTATCTTCACACATTATAACGCTAATGATTACCTTTGGTTTTCATTCTTAATGACAAAGAAATGAAATACACAGTAAATGTGTTAACAAGAGTGTACTGCAGAGTCTTAGGACCAGTGCAATAGTGGTTCCCAGATGGAAACCCAGCTTCAAACTACGCAGATGTTGCTTACCTGCATTAACTCTTTGTTCCCTTACTGTTTAAAAAAATATATCCATGAAAGACAACGTGGTTAGAGAAGTAAAATGAGAATTAAAAAACGGTCTCTTTCAGATTGCTTCCATCACCACATTTAGACTGTGCTAATCTCTCCTTGGTGAAGCACAAGGAGCTCCCTTGCAGCTGCGTATGAAAACAGCTCCTCTGAGCTTCCAGCTCAAGTGAAACAAAGCGGTAGAGCAAAAGACCCAACATAAGGAGCCCTGCACTCTGTTCTCAGCTCTGCCACTGGAAGGCCATGACAGGGGGTAAGGTGTTCTGTGCTTCCATGTGTCAGTCTTTCCCAGATTTCATCAGCCAATGAAGTCTGTTGATGACAAAGAGCTGGGATATGCAGTTAAGAGAGAGGACTGGTAGGACACTCTACAGGAGGAAATCAAACTTGAGAAGAAAAACAGAAATGGGCTGGAAGGTGTGGAGCACAAAGTGCAAGATGGTGCCCTTGGGGACTGGTCCACAGGCTCTTCTCCCACAAGCTGAGACCGCATCAGTTGAGGGCAACCGCTGGCCACTTGTTAGATGATGTACAAGGCAAGAACTCAAGAGGAAGGAACATGATGTCAAGTTGAAGGACAAACAGCACAGTTACAGTCAAGAAGATGATTAAGCTGGAAATGAGAAGAGCAGTGAGGTCTGTGGTGGTCTTACAGAATCACAGAATCACAGAAGGGTTTGGGTTGGGAGGGACCTTAAAGACCATCTCGTTCCAACCCCCCTGCCATGGGCAGGGACACCTTCCACTAGACCAGGTTGCTCAAAGCCTCATCCAGCCTGGCCTAGAAGACATCCAGGGATGGGGCATCCACAACTTCATCTTCTAGCAAGGATATTTCAGACACAGATTCTATACTAACATCTTTCCAAAAAATGGTGCTTCATCAGCTTTTGAAAATCAAGTTCCAGTCCTGTGGTCCTAAGTTTTGAGAAGTTTAAACTCCACACTTTCAAACTGGTTATGAAAGGAGAAATGTTTATTGCCTACAGCAACAAAAAGGTTCTCAACGATTACTTTGTAAGGGTGACTATGGCAATGGCTTGAGTGTTACTTGTGCATTGAAAATGCAAGCAAAATACCACATGTCAGTGGATGAGTAACATAAAATGGAACTAACTTGTTCAGTTTAATTGCCTATGGAAAACAAAACACAAATATTTGATGAAAAAATAGAAATTGTAGAAAGTTTATTAGATCTATTATATTCTTTCAAAAGGAGTAACCGACCTGGTGTCCTGGTAGTTGAACACAAACAGGGATTACATTTCAATATAAAACCATTACCTTAGTAGCATGTCTTTATAATTTTAGTCATCTTAAGGTATTCACTTACCTACTTACTCGCTTTCACAGGTCTCTTTTTCCATTAGATTTTCAGAATCAATCATGAAGTCATTTCTTGAATCCATTAACATTATTTTTCCTGTCATTTTTCAAACCAAATTCCATGATTTCTTTTCCAGACCTTACACAGTATTTCTGTCAAGAGCTCTTTTTCCAGGTGTGAATATATTTCAGTAAGTATACAGAATCCAGGGAAATATAGCTACACAGATTTTATTTTAATTATAAGCATAAGGTCACAAGCTGAGCTTTGTTATACTTTAAAATACATATTTTAACCAACTGCCAAGCTACACTACTGTTACCAAAAGGCATCTCAAATGCCAAGGGGGAAGATCTTAAGTGTCATCTACTATCAACATTGAAATGTAGTCTCTGTAGTGAAGAGTATTTGTTTCCGGATCTAGAGCAGTGGAGAGCATGTCCTCCATTTCTTTCTCAGTAAAGGGCTCACCTGAAAGACAGCAGAGAATAACACTTTGTCTTGATAAGTATTCTTTTCAGGTCTGGCAAATTACACCACTTTTCCCTTGGAAGGATCTTCTTTTGGTGCTCACACAGAAGAGACAAGGAGCAATACTAAGGACCCACTTCCTTCCCTTTTGCCAATGTAAGACCTGCACACCAAGCACACTGGTCTAAGGGAAAGGAGACAGAGGGCCTGGATGTTCTGACCTCTTCCTAATTCACAGACTCCAAAACAGCCTGTTCCTCTCTGCCACAGGGATTTCGAAACAACCATTTTCATCAAAATGAATTCTTCTGTGTACATTAGAATTATTCACTCTCATTTGACTATCCTTTCTCTTGTATTTACATCATGAAAGGCTTCTGGTTTTTCTCTTCTAGGAGCTTCAAAGCTGCTGATGGCCTACTGTACCCCTCTTTGAGAACAGGATCCCCATCTGAGGATGAGTCTTGCGCAAAGCCTGCACATCATTTTGTACTTCAGGCGGGCAGGCGTGAGTCAGCCATGCCAGAAAAGCAGGCTCTTCAAGGGATATGGGGGATTACACGATATACAGTTTAAATCTGGTCTTTGAATCTCTTTGTTAGCATACCGCAACAGAATTAAGATCAAGATAGTGCAGGAATGAACGAGCACTGAAACTACCTGAAACATCTGGAAATCTAAACAACAATTTTACAGGACAGAAAAAGAGGCACAGAGATGTGCACAGAATCATAAAATACCCACAAAAGATTGCAATATGTCCCTTAGGAATAATAATCTCTATCTTCTAATGTTCGCAGGCAGGCAGCTAAATGTTCTTCCCCTACGTTACCCCCCAGTGAAAGTTTCTAGTCTGCAGCCACTCACGGCAACAGAATTGTTGGAAGACAATGTATCTACTCTTGCAAGTGTTGGCATGCAGAACGAGGAACTTGAGGTGCCATATACACATGTAATGTTTGTTTACTTAAACACTGATACAACAAAAGTCATGTTACCTTCTTCAGTCAAATATTTGACCAGCTCATCTTTAGTAATAGATCCACATTTCTTTTCATCCAAAGCCTTTAAAGAAAAAGAACAAAACTTGTGGGTTTAACCATACCAAATCAAGAATCAGCAACTTCTTTCCAGAAATTAGGAACTCGAATATTTTGTTACAGACCTCAAATGCATGTAGAAGAACATCTTCTGGAATAGGTGGGTAGCTGAAACCATTGAATCACAAAAGTTAAGTCACTGTTTGACAGTCTACTGTACTTAAAGAATAAAATATGAGTACTACAGCAAAGCGAAAACTTATTTTTTATGAAAATCTACTAAGTTTGCCTATCGAACATTTAATTCCAGCTTGACTTTTTGGAATTGTCCTCATCTTTACCTATTCTGCCTTTTATTGTACTCCTGTTTAATTTTCCTTGTGCTAAGGAGCCAGTTGAATGGCTTCTGCACGCCTGGGCTGGCTGAGTGGGTTAGTAGCAATCAGCAATAGCTGATTCATTCCACGTAGCCAATGCACTGAACAGAAGATGGCCAAACCAAGAACACAAAGTTTTGTCCAGGTATGCTGGTAGCTAGGCAACAGATCAACTAGTGGGACTTTGACAGCCTAATGAGCTGATGATGAGCAAAGGAGGCTGGTAGCTATAAAAGAAAAGGTCTGTCACTAACAATTTCAGGGAGGCAGGAGAACTGGACATGTGTGTGTGTGTGCATACGTGTGCCTGATTTCAGAGCTGAAAAGGAAACCCTGTGCAGCAATGGAGACTTTGCATATCCCAGCAGACTCTCACCAACCCCCAGTGACACTAAAGAAAAGACGTTGAACCCAGGGAGGTTGTAACTGCTTGATTGTTTCGTCCAGACCTGCCTTGCTCTTTTACTATCTAAAAATCAAATGTGCTAAGAAGATGCCTTGTTTTTTGTGATCCAAATCTCATATGCCCTTGGATAAGTGAGCTATAGACACAGTGCTCCAAAAGATGAAGTGGGTCTTGACAAGCCTGAACTAGCCTGGGGAAAGTGCGTAGGTTTGGGTTTGTGTGTGTGTGTGTTTGTGTGGAGGGGTTGTGGAGAAGAGACCCCAGAGCAGCAAGGTATCATTTTCTGAAAGGGTGCACATCAGTGTGGAGCCAGCGATGTGCCATGAAGGCCAGAGAAGGAAAAGATGCAGGAACCTGGAAAGCAATGTACCTGCTCTGGCACACCGGGACCCAAACACTTCTGGCTGGTCCACGTCCAGGCACAGGCCTGAAGACTCTCAAACACAGCCCCAAGGTAGAACCCACTGCCTTGGGAGGCTGCGAGACAGTTTTGGGAAATCCTATTTCATGTGTAGATCACCCTCCTACTAAAGGACCTCTGTGTGCAAAATGACTTCTCCATATTGGACAAGACTGAGTCTCTCAAAACCGCTGACTACCATCTTTAAAAAGAAAGATAAATTCCCTATGAGTAATCTTGCTTTTAGTACAAAATATCAAAATAGCACAGAAGTTCCTGTGTAGATGCAAAGATTTCCATGTACCTTCGAATAATGAGCATTTTTGTTCTAGACTTTTAGATCGGCAGTCTTTAAAGTGCTACTTGTATACATTCAGCCGTACCTGGCAGTCATTCTGGGACATGAATATGAAACTGATTTATACAACTTATTAAAAATGCATTGTAACAGACTTCTCAGTAACTGTAACTCATATGTTCAGAGAAAGTAATGGTTATGACCTCAATTTGCATATAAAATATTTCAGAGATGCACAAAATATGTTCAAAGCAAATGAATCCCCATTCATATTAAAAATACAAAAGCTGCACATTATCACAATTCATTATTATAAACTGTTATTATTTATATCATCCACACAACATAATTGTATGTAGACAAAGTGATTTTCAAACAGAATCCATCAAACTAATGTAAACTGAGTTTAAATAACAAAAAAAACCCAGCAATCTTTCCAGTTACATAAAACTGCTGTACAGTTATTTATTCAGAATCAACCCTGTCAATCTGGAATAAACTACATACAGAAAATCCATTACCTTCTGTCGAGCAGTGCTTTTGTCATCACTGGAAGAAATTTTTCCAGATTAATGTATCCAGTTTGTTCTTCTTCTTCTACCTAAAATTAAAACTTAATTATGGCAGGTTATATGACTCATTAGCGAACTAATATGAAAACCAGAAAATTGGGGTGGTTCCTGCATTAAAATTAGACTTTGAATATTTATATCAGTTTTTTAATATCACATGGCACCGTAACGTCTGAGTAAAATGCTTGTGATCAAACAGAAAGAAATTAGAGGAAGAAATAATATCCCAGGCAAAACACGGGCCTGCAATAACAGACACTTTCAACAACTCAATATTGCCCTCTTGTGCTTACAAACCATACATGCAGAGGAATAGGGCGCCTAGTAACTGATCTTACCTTCCACAGTAACTCAGGAGAGGTTTAAACATTCAGACTGCATTCATACTAGTAAAGTCTAGCAAGGCCTGGAACACCCCCAAGCAACGTAACGTGACCACCCATAACAGCAAACCATTGCCACGTTCCCTGGCATGATTTTGGCCTGTGCCACCGAACGCTTCCCCCAGCAGTCACCAGCTGGGCCTTAGGGACTGTTCTCCAGCCCGCTGCTGTCTGCCACCACTCCGCCTAAAACATTTACCAGGGTAGACATGAGCTGCTCTGTGCCAGCTGGCTGCGGCACCCAAGGATCTTTCTGGGCACATTTAATGTGCTAGTTTGGACATAGCTCCAGTCTAGTACACCTCAAGGATGGAATTTGTTGCCTCCACATGTTTCCTAGCCAGAGAGTCGTCAAGGGAAGGACCGGAGAGGCAGGGCAGCCTGAAACAGTCATAAGGCAGCCCATAAAATGCTACAGAAAGAAAGCCTTCCTCTTGCCTCCCAAATAAATGAACAGATTCATCCCAAAACATCGTGGACTTCCAGCAGCGTTGTCACTGCATTCCTGCACTTCCACAGGAGATGAGCAATGTGATAAAAACTTCTCCCTATCTCCCAGTGCATCCCTTCCCTGAAAATTTCAAGTTTTACTCCCACAGGGAGTCCTCTTAATGGAGCTAGGCTGTTCCTGTCTGTGTTGAAACTGGGTGCATGCCTTGGAGTCTCACATGGCAGCAGCAGCACCTTGCTAGGCTCTCCACAGACGCAGCTCAGACTGAAAGAAGACTCAAATAGACACTGATTTGAAATATTCTGACTAAACCAGGAAAAGATGAAGTAAGAAATCTTCCTCCTGGGAGCTGGGTCAGAGCTGAGGGTGATGCCTGACGCAACATCCAGTTCCTTAAATGGAGAGCTGCAACTGCTGCATGGTCTTTTCTAGAGCTCTTGAAGGGTTTTGGTTGCTAAAAGCAGGCAGCCACCACCTCTTGCTTCTGTGGAGTGGAAATTGGCTTGAAAAAGCACTTCTTCCCTTCTGTTTGGTGAGCCTAGTGGAAGGGATCTTTAGCAAGGAAATGAAGTTGTTGCATGCTTCATGCTAAACCAAATGACACTTTTTACCATTACAGAATCATTTGTTCTACTGCTTGCTTGATTGAAGAGATGTAACAAAATACTTTGCAGATGTATGTGAAAGAACTCAAATTCTTTCCAGTGACATACCAGTTAGTCAGTACACTGAACTATTCCTTGTATGGCAAACACTGAGATGTATAAATAAACACACAGGATGTTTTAGGGAGCATCCATGATGCAACTAGTATTAGGTCAGAAGCCCACAGAGACGGAAAAAGAAATATGGTAGGTATTTATTGGAAATAGATAGATGTGCCTTAAATTAAGCAGAACAACCAAAAGCAAGGACCTAAAACATCCATGAAGAAGACAAGACATATAAACCATGTTTAAGAGCCCAAAAAAAATGAGGTCTGCTCATCCAAACAGCTGAAAGTCATCCTAATTTTCACACCAGAACTCACCAGCAAAGACCATTTCAGAGCTCGATGTAACAAATAGCTGTGAAAGTGTTAGCCCTCACTGACAGAGATCCAGATTTCTCCCTTTTTTTTGGTGTGCTATTTGTATTTAGCCTTCAGAAAGCAGACTGTGGACGAAATGTGTCCTTCCTGACAATAGACCAAGTCCTGGGAGGTGATGAGCAACCTCAGCTTCCTCTTACCTGGAAAGAACAGCTTCCGTCTCAGTGGCTCTATAGGCCCAGCAATATCCTGAACTGCTAACATTAATCCTATTTCTAACATGGGATAGATATGTGAATAAATTGAATATATTAACCCTGCGTAAGTCAGTAACTATTCAGATTTTCAGGTATATGTATCCTCTTACTCTTCCTCATGCTCACTCCTGCTCTACACCTCATTTCCCACTGATGTTTTCCTTTTGCTGTAATTCCTCCTCTATTCATAGTAACTGTGACAATAACAGTATTTACTTGCTCAAACTTAGTGAGTTTTGCTCTATTTCCTTCCTTCGGGTACATCCACAGCTCCCATAACAATTGTACTGTAGCACTCATTGTTTCTTATCTCTCCTCTCACAACCGTACTATTATTGTCCACATACCATTGTCACAAAGAAACAAAACCATCTTATCCAGGAGATCTGTGGCAGAGCAGTGCACTTAACCTGGGATTTCAAACTCCAGGCGTTCTAGTAACCCTCGGATTAGCTTTCACCATCTCTGGTCTTATCTTTTAATCTCAGCTTTGTAAGTAGGCCTACAGATATGATATTAAGTACAGCATTTAGCATAAGGTAATATAGGAAACAGTATATGATAATTTTTGAGATAAAATAATTATATGAATGCTGAGTTGGGAGATAGGAATTATTTGAGGGCAACATATGCTAGTTTAGCTAAAACAAGGCTAATAGGAAGATGAGATGATCAAGAGACACAAGTAGTAAGAAACAGAAATTAATCACAGTTTACAAAGGGCAAGAATACTGGAGAAATAGCTTGGTTATAAACCAGTCAACAGAGACAATTTTCACTTTATCTAGATTAAGATAAAATGGTATTACTATAGTCAATGATAATGGTATCTTACATAAATTAAGATGTATTTGTGATTAACATAATATATTAAGGGTTCTACAAGAACACAGTGTTCTTCTGTACTAAACCTAAGCCAGGCTTTCATTTACAGGCATCATGAAACCTGCTTTGAGATTATACTTCCAGTTCAGTGTTCTTTAAGGTTAATCATTACTCTTGAATGTATTCTTCCTTCTTGTAGTATTTGTATTTTAATATCCTTATAATCAACAATTGCATACATGTTATACTGTTGTATCTAAGAATCTTCCACCTGATAACTAGCTGCATTGCACTGTACTTTGTTATGTATTACTTGTCTCAGATTTTCAGTAATGCTGAAAGTTGGGGGGAAAAAAATAATAAGGCCAACCTTCTATATTCTATGTGAGGGGGAAGAAGGCTTTAAACTCTCCTGGTTCCCCTGTACTGGGGGCAGAGGGTCAAAGCATCCCCTTCCTTTTCTCAATTCTGTATCTTGAGTCAGTTGCATCGTTCATTTGCTGCAAACAAAAATCCCTGTGGGCCACTAAAAATATCATCTATATTAAGCACCATAACTTCTCTTTCCATTTTCTCCTGTTTAACAGTGGGAGCTAGGACAATCTGGTACTGAGAGTACAGAACCAGAGCAGACAGATTGCTGCATCATGTTAAAAGATCTTTCTGCTCTGATGGTTCTTTGCGCTTCCTCATCCGAAGCAGCTGCGTCATTTTCACAGGACTCAGCACAAGATTTCTCACACTGAATTCAGATCCACAGGAGACCAAACAAGCCTACTGAGGAGAGACTACTACTGCAACCATCCAAATTTTTGTTGGGGGTGGGAACAAAAAACTAAGAGAGATCAATTCCTGGTTTCCTGACCTATACGTGAATGTACGCATCTTCTATTCCTTAAGGCAGCATATCAGTTTGCAGAAAGAATGTGAAGTCATTTTCCAATTCTTTGTCCCATTTATTAACCATGCTCTGCCAAGGCACTAGCACACCATCCCTTCTATTACAAGAATGAGGTAAGGAGACAAAAATTAGTGTAGGAAAAAACTGAGGGGAAATGGGATTGAAGTTCCTTACCCCCACATATCACTGGGAGAATGGGAGGATTTCTAGGTCTTGCAAGGCTTTATGTCTGAATTCTGACTTACAGGCTTAAGTAATCAAGAAAGAAAAGATTATGTATAGGTAACTGAGAAATCACAGGACTTGGACATGCCTCAGGAAGGACAGAAAGTTGAAAGGTCTGGCTGTAAGTTAGCAATTACAGGACCCAGTGAATAAAATAGCAGGTCTTTCCTCTGCATTTATGGAATTTGATGCATAATTTTAACACCTGCTCAAGAACAAATTTTTCTTGCTTAATCATCCTGTGTGCATCTATGACATGTCCAGAATCATGGAGTCACAGAATCACTAAAGTTGGAAAAGACCTATAAGATCATCTAGTCCAACCATCAGAGTGAGATGGCTCAGGTTTGGTTAGCCTAATATGATTGAGGTTTAGGACATCCTTTTTTATCAGGCAAACCCAATTTTCCTCCATTTTCCATAAATGCCCCTCCACCCTGGCACAGCGTAACAGTGACCTTCCGGGTAAGAGTCAAAGACTCTCATTATAACCCATCAACATTACCCCAGCAGCTTAAAGGCTTGCATCAAGGCAACCTGAGAGACTGCCTGCCTGCCTGCCTGCCTCACTTCCACCACACTTCCAGTCTCTCAGAAAAGAGCTAAGGTTTCCCACACATTAAGGCAGAAGATCCACACTTGTAAAAGTTTAAGACTGAAAAAAAATACAAAAGGTCTAAACATTTACCTTTGCAAGCAGTTCATGTAGTTCTGCCTCAGTTGGGAAGCACCCCAGTGACCTGACAATGGTACCAATCTCTCTGAAAGAGGAAAAGACCATCTTTGTCAGTAAATCTGCAATACAAGAGTGTCTCTGGAGAATCCAGATACCAGTTCAGAGCTTGCATACAGGAGTTTGCATGTACAAGCACATAAGCACACACAAGCATGTGTATGTGGACTTTTCATGTCTCAGTAAGCAATGTCTATTTGTACAGACATTAAATATTCTGGAGCTATTTTGGAAGAGTATAAATGTTCCTGTGACTTTCCCCAAAAATTGTTCTTTACCATCCTGTTGCAGTGTACCACGTGCAGGTTACTTTTCAACTGCTGTCCTCTAATTGTTCAGCTTAATTTCAGTGAAGTCTACATTTATATGGTTAATAGAACACTTAAAAACCTGCTGAGATGAAAGTAACAAATAAAATATATGTTACATTAAATGCTATAAAGATACAAATTCTAACTGCAGTGAAGAACAATTATGAAAGGTCAGGAAGGAGGCAGCACTGCTATGCCCCTGCTGTGCTCTGAAAGAGTCAAACAGAACAACCCAGTGGCTTATCAACACCCTGTTTATGCTGCAAATTATATTCATAGCTTGCATTTACTGCTCACCCTGGTGCCGTTGTTCTGAGGCTCTAAATAAAATTCTGACAAAACCGGCAATGCCTCAAAAAAGTTTAAGATGAACAATATCACAGACTAGAAACAAAAGTGTTGTAAAGCTGTAAAAAAAACTAATGAGTTTTACAGTATGACTGAAAACAAAATAACTGAAGCACCGATACTGCTTGTGATTTTCAGTCCAATTCTACAACATCAAGATTCAAGCACATTTGAGTAAGTATCCACAGTGCTGGTGGTTCCCATGATTCAAACCTCTGTGGTTTCTTCATCTTCACCACTACATTTGCTGGAAAAATTAGATTGCCTAATAAAAAAGGTAGTTACAAGAAGCAATGACCTTTGTAGGATTATCCTACAACAGTAAGGCCCCAAATGTGGCACACCAAGCACACATAAAATTAGACCAGTCAGTCTCTGGCCTCCTCAGACAGGTCGTGAGGAGCTCCCATCCTGACTGAAAACCTGTGAGAAGCACTACAATAGGCAAAAGAGAGGAAAAGGCTGGCTGCTCTAAAATAGTTAGAAAACAAAACCCAATCCCACACATCGAGTCGTTACGAAACGAAGCCATCTGCTCAAATGACTCAGTGAAACCTGGCCTCCCGCGGACGTGAATGGAAGTTTGGCCATTGGCCTCAATGAGGTCAGACATTCAGTCCTATTTTTAAAATCCTTGGCCATGCACCCTGTTTCTAGTACGGATATACAGTATTTGATGCTCTCATTGCTGCACACCCTCATATTTTCCAGTTAAAAGATACTTGTAAATATTCTCTGTCTCCCTCAGAGAAACACCCAACCCAAAGAGACTGCCAGAGATGGGACGGCTGCCACCCTCTCCTGCCTCACCTCACGCTCAGCAAAACTGGGATGTGACTGAGGTTAGTCAGGCCCTGAAAGAGATTGCAAAATCTGGCATTGCTGGCTGTCCTTCCTGATGGTCTGTGCATGTGCCAGCATGAGGATGTTGTTTGAAGTGTCTGGGGTCAAAAAAGTCATGTCACATTTGGTAACAACATGGGGTTTAAAGGACCCCAATAGGAAATTTTATTTTACTCCCAGACACTTCCTCACAGTTCAGCAGTTGAAGTTTCTTCTGTGTAGTTTCTAGCATACAAAAATTATGGTTAAAATGAGTTAATGTTCATACAGGTTTTGTAACACACACGCAATAGAATTTCAGGCCATAGTTTTCACTCTACGTATAACATTTTCAGTGACAAGATTTGCAAAATCATGAAAGGCCTTGACTCAGGGTGTGTTGTAAGCAACACGAAACAATACCAACTTCTTCATGCTTAATTTCTTACTTTGCATTAGGAGTCAAGCAATACTGATGTTGACCTGTCAAGCCAGGGTAATTTTCCATATTCTTCACAGGAATCTGAGATTTCAGGCAATAACATTCATACACCTACAATTGTGTTTAAGAATTGTGCTGTACTGCCACCTTCTGATACAAGATAACCGTCCATTAATATTCCCATTACTGTGATACAGCCCTGCAATATGAAACTAGGAATATTTAGAAAATAAATTGATGTTCATTGTCTGTAACTGTTCTATGATAAAAAATGATGTGAAATTGTGCATTTACTATGATGAATAGACTTTTGAATGTCCCCTCTCACATGTCATGACTTACTGTCTGAATGGATACATTTTTAAAAAGGTCTATTTGTATAATTTCATTGTTGTAACTTTTTCTCAAGCTCTGTGTAGCAAATGTTACAGCTTTATAGCCAGGACTGCAGATGTAAATGACAAGTAAGCAACCAGTATGTCATGGTGCAGTGAGGGCGAGGGGCTCCCCAGGGCTTCTTGGGGGGTGGTAGTGGCAGGGGTTCCCCATGGGAGGTGGCAGGGCAGGGCTGGGGGCCCAGCCAGGAGCTGGGCAGCCAGAGGCATCAGGGTAGCTCCAGCCTGTGGCATCAGGCACCTTCCTGGGAATGGGCAAGTGACTTAAGTGAGCACTCTTCTCAAAGAGGCCTGTGGGCAGGCAAACAGCAATTGTACCCAGTGTGCAGACATACCCTGAAATTCTCCCGATCTAGTATAACCTAAAAACCATTTCCCTTCTATGAAGCACCCATAATTCCTTAAATTTAGAGGCACTAGTAAACATACGTTGCTAAAACCATCACATAAATATTGTGCATTTCTCCCACATTGGTTTTATAATGTGTAAAACATGTTTGGAACCTTTAAAGATGTTTTCCAATTTGCCTTTGTGAGGAATGTCTAATGACAACAATTTCACCAGCTCTCACACTCCTTTGCAGTGTTCACACTCAATAACCAACTTATAATTAAAAGCTCTGGTGATATTCTTGTGAAAATAGTAATTGGAAATATGAAAAATTACTTCAATAAACTTTAATGACAACAGCTTTTAACAACTTCAGAACCTGCCCAGTCAGACATAAACATGTGGCTTATGTATTTTATAACAAAAGCCATATTGTTATGCCTATGGATGTTTATGTTAAAATGAAGTTAAAGTAGCACTGTCAAACATTCAAACTTTAAATACACCAGAATTACGATTATTTAGGAATTTTTAAATTCGACTTCCTTTAGCTCTGTATCTTGTAGCCATTTATGCCCTGATCAGTCTAACATTCCATGTTTTTATCTTCCAGTGAACATTTTCTTTACTCCCTCAGACATATATTACGTTTGTATTGCCATACGACTGCATGCTAAAGGTATACTGCATGCAGTTCTCTCTACTGACTCCCATCTGTGCATCCCATTCTCCCGGTTCTGGTCAACCCATTTCAAAAAGGAGAAAGCTGAACAAGAAGGAGCACAAAAAATAATGGCCAAATCTATGGAATATCATCTCCTAATAGATTAAACACATCCAGACTCTTCAGCCCTAAACTACTGTGATTGAGGACAGATGTGACAGACAACTATGACATCATTAATGGTGTTGAGAAGATTAATAGAGAACAATTGTTTGCTATTTATAATAAGACTAAAAAAACAACAGGCGCCACTTAAATCATAATGTGACAGATGTACAAAACTACAACAAGAAATCCTGTGTATTTGCTCAATTCCTTATATTCCTCTCTCAGGTAACTACTAGTAGCTCAAAAGAGGGTACGGGGCTAAAAGGACTTTTGGTGCAATCAAGTATGATCTTTCTGCTCATTTATTATTATTGTTATTATTATTGCTATTACTATTGCTGTTATTGCTGTTGTTATTAAATAATCAAATTACATAAAAGATTTTTCCAAGTCTCCTAAAAACACCTCCCTTTCGGAGCAATATGCACCTCCCACATTACCCCAGCATAAGAGGAGATACCTACTAAGAACAGGTTAACTATGACACACACTGGCAGGGACACCCCTTGATGTGCTGGGACTGTGCTGAAAGCAAAGGGATCCATATGGGATCTAGGACCTGTAGTGCCAAATGAGCTATCAGAGCAGAGGTTTGCCAGTAATAACTGTAGCCTCAGACATCTTGCCTAGCTACAGTTTCCTCTTGCCTCTTTACTCCACCAGTCCCAGCGTCTTTCTCTCAAGCCAGTTTCAGTCTTCAACCACTGAACAGTGCAAAATTTCTATTAAAGCAAAGACATAACTGTCCAACCAGGGTCAAAAGGACTTTTCCAATTAGATTTTCTGATAAAGCAGTGGCAGGTTTAGGGAGTTATTTATCTCTGTACTGTATCCTGTAATACTTCTGTGTGAGGATATTTACAAACCTGACATCCACAGTTTTATTGCATTCATGGTCAAACACCTCAAAAGCTTCTATAATCTTTTTCTCAATTTCAGCTACTACGCCATCTGCAAAAAGAAACATACGAAAAAGAATCACTGGGCTGTTGCAACTGATCTGTTTCCAACTTGAGAATTGCAACAGCAGAAGCACCAAAACTGATAAAGGGGCAGACAGGAAAGGTACTTCAAAAAAGCAGAAGTTATTCTGAAAAAATAAAATGCACTCTAAATGCAGAACCTGTCATTTATATCAGTAATACGGCCTGGCTATGGCTCTGCAGCTACACCAAACCTGGTGTAATAGTGCATCTCGGCTGCACCATCGCCTGGCTGTCCACGGGAGGACCCTGCTCAGTGTGCCACAGCTCCTTCTGGACCAGGAGCCTGAGCCCTTCCTGGGCACCATGGTGCCAGTGGAGGGAACAAGGCGAGCCTGGGCCCAGGCTTGCCCTGAGCTGAGCCTGAGTCACTTCATCCAGGTGCCTGCATCCAAGGAAATGTAAGTGCTCTCATGCCCACGAAGTTAGCCATAATGTATGAAAAGCTGAGAACTGGGAATAAAGAGATGGCTGATATGTGCACAGTGAGTATGTCTCATGGTAAATAATTTATCGTAACAGTTTGGAAAGGAAGATGATCTCAGGGAAGGGGAAAGAGCAATTTGCTCCATTTGCTTTTTATATCTCAAAGTCAAAGAACAGGAGAAGAAGAACCACATGTTATCACAGTTTTATCTCATTTAAAGCTAGAAATTATGTTCTTGTGGTAAGGGAAGTAGCAGGAAATAAATTCTGAAGAGAAAAATGTAAAGAGAGGAAGGGGTCCATCCCCAAAAAAAAAAAGCTCCCTGGCAAGGAAACCAGGGTAAATAAAGAGTGATCTGGTTAGCCCATTTATTAATGTCATAGTTTGACTCCAAAAGACAGAATACAGGAAGCAAAGTGATATGGAGTTGACCTTTTGGTTCCTGTGGCTAAATACAGCCCCAAGCTCCAGCTGGCAAAGGAGCTCTCAGGAGGCAGTATTTTGTGAGCTAGCCCTACGGCCTCCACAGAGACACCACAGGGAAAACTTGAGTGACAGGCAGAACATGGCTGTCTCTTCCGTGTTCTCATTATGATGATAAAAACATAACTCTGCTCTATCAGAACAGATTTATTTTCTTCTTTAAGCTCATCTGTTGTTAAGTGTTGTTGAGCAGCTCTGACCAGCACTAAACCACTGGACATTATTTCCACTGACATAACAAATCCATACATCATTTCCTACATTCCCAATACTTTGGAAATCCCTGGGGTTGCAGCCTACAACCATTTTTGCCATTTGCTCTCTTGCCCTCATGACAGAAACATCTGTTTTCTGGCAACGGGTGTCAGAACTGAACCTAGCTAAAAGATACACTGGCTTTGCTTTTACCTTGACCCATGAGTTTTTTCATGGTATTTTCTCCCCTGGTGCTGCTGAGGAAGGCAGTGTTTGGATGGGTGCCTGGCAGCTGCCCAATGTCAACCCAGCACAGGCTGCAAGGACTTTGATATAGTAGTGGATTGACTCTGGTATAAGGAAGCTCTTTTCCACGCAGAAGAGAGGTGCATCCCCTTATAAAGGTACAGGTGCCTGCTGCTTTCTGTCTGTGACACTGAACTCCCCCAGCGGGTATGTAAAGAGAAGAGAGGTAGGAATATATCCTGTATTCCTCTCTCTGACTTTATTCTCCTGATGGAAACATGGGCAGGTACATGTACAACAGATTGGAGACTGGAGCTCTCTGAGGAAGAAGAGCGAGCCTGTTCAGTCCCCAGAGATAGGACAAGCTGTGTTTTTTTCATAGCTTGGCAAAAATTCCTGCTTTCCATGTGCCTATGCAGTACCGACCACATTTAGTTCCTTTCCAAAAAGCATACTTAAATCTAAGTGGACCCGATTCCTTGTAGAAGAGGCCCTAAAGACTTACTCTCAAACTACTGAATTTGAGGAGAGTTTTTTCAGTGACTTCAAAGAATCCTGGATCCAGTCTCCGGTGTAGACATGTTGGAGTTCAGTTCTTGAAATCAGGCACTTCAATTGTACACTGTGTCTTGCAATAGAATGCTGAAGGAATATTTATAGCTGTATATTCTTGGCTTGATGAGTGAGCCTTCTGTAGAAATAAAAATTAACCGGGGGGAGGCAGGGAAACATTTCCAGCACTGGAGCTGTGTAGCCATCCAGTCTTTTCAAGACTTGCCTTCTGTGAAAATAGTATACATTAATTTACCTGGTTCAAGAGGCCTGGCAAAGAAGATCCTGCAATGAAATGTACTTGACGATTTAATCTACGTACCAGATAATCTGTATGTCTTCCAAGAATTGAAAGGAAGTTGTGATTAAGAGACATACCCATGGAGGAAAATATAATATACTGTAGTCCTCTCAAAGACCCTGTGTGAGATGAGTGAACACCTAATAAGCCATTGCCTAAATCTCTTGTCACCCCACTAGGGATGAAAGCCAAAGATGTTCAACATTGTTCAGGATGGCAAATCTAGTTATCTGAAGACTTCTATGATTCACTTTATACCTCTCTTTGGGAGGGAGAAAAAGATGGATTCCAGCTCTAGGATAAGTAATGGATAAAGGTTTAAAATGATCCCTTCAAGAAGAGCATCAAAAGATCAGACATGCAGATAACTCAGCAGATGCGATGCCCTAATGTACTGAAATCTTTCTGCACAAGGATAGTCTGCCTCATGGGTAGATCAATGAAAGTTTCATGTTGCCCCGTGGAGCAATTTTTTAGCAATTTTCAGGACAGAAATACCTATGTTCTAACTGAATAAAAGATTTTACTCACTTATTCTGCTAACTAGAACAACAATACATATCAAAGTAAAATGTTCCGATTACTTCTAATGGCTTAAGTAAATAAATACTGAAACATACCATGCCAAAAAAGATTCCAATACCTACAATTACTTATTCCCTCAAATGCATCCTGTAGGCATGCCAGACTATTTCCATTTTTATTCTGTTAAAATGCTTCAGATACTTGTAGGTTTGTTCTCATTTTCTTGTTCTCATTTATTTTCCTACCACATAAGCAGTAAGAAGGCAAAATGTCTTAAATCCACTCCTCGGATACATCAACTGAAAAGTGTATTCACTATCAGTTTCCTTTCCTGTACTATCCTTTGCTATTTTCCCAGTTTGTTTAGCATGAACTAGGTAAAGCTCTAGACACTGCCAGTTAAGTAAGACTGGCAGGGAGCTGGGAGTCCCAAATTAATTCTGATGGTTCTTTCAGACTGAACTGTTCCTCTTCAGATTGTCCAGACTGTTCCCCAGCACTCTGAGGCCCATTTGAAGCCAGCCCTTAAGCAGCACACCTGCCTCAGTTGTGACATTTCTTCTTCAAAGACCACAGCTTCAGTCTTTCAGGGAACACAAGCAATTAAGTAGATGTGGCTCTGCCAGACTCTTGAGTAATGAGCATTTTAAAAACTGATTTCTAGTTGATACATTTTGTTATATTCTACCATTCGTTTAACTGCATGAGCTTCCTTTCTTTTCTTCCTCAGGGCTAGTTGCTCTGATGGTTCAAAAAGCCAATCCTTTCATCCACTGAAGAGAAATTATGGGCAGAAAAAAGAGGTCTCAGAAGAACAGGTAGGCCAACATTAAACAACTACCTAAAATGCTGGGGAGCAGCATTTGTCTGCTGCTCACAGGAAAAGATTTAGTCCCAGTGCAGCCCGATGAACCTATTTACACAATGTGATACTCTGAAACTCTTTTCGTGCTATGTACAGAGTAAAATTAAGGGCTGATTTGTAGAAACATCAGTGGACTTGATTTTATTACTTACTGTTATTGCTCAACACACCTGAAACATTAATCTTTATAAACATTAACCTAGGTATATTTTAATAAATATAGTCAATTTTATATTTAAACTCCTACATGCACGTGACCACCTCATTAATTACTCCATCCTCTCTTTATGGAACTATGTTACGGTTACAAGCAGGTGGGAGGAAACCCCTGAGGTCTCTGATGGCAGGAATGGTCTCATGGGGCTGCCTCACTGAACTAGTCAGTCTGAAAGGACAAAGGACACTACTGAGTAACTCCACCTCTAACAGATAGTTTTACAGTCATTTACATGTTGTTGTTCTGGTTTTACTTAAATGTGTTGTTATCAACAGCTCTTTTGTAGATCTCCCCATCCACTAACGGCGGCTTATCAGCAGAGGCTACCGTATACTACAGCACCATTTTTCTATTTCTTACTAGCCATTACTTCAACTAAGAAAGTAGGTAGCATCTTGGTCCTGCCAGTTGAAAACCTGGGAATGGGATGCAAAGACTGCCATGAAGAAAAAGGAATAGTTTTAAGAAGGCAATGGACACAAGAAGGAACATGACTGTGCAGGCAGTAACATGAGGAAATGCCAGCCTTAACGCACCCTACAATCTCCACCCGACTTCAGTGAGCCTTCTCCTGCCTTCCATGGATCCAATCTACAGTATTCGACCACCCTCCTCACACAGTTCCGACACTCTTCCATAAGGCCCCTGTAACCATCCTTTGCAAGTCCTGGCTCTTCCCATAATCCCCCAAATCACAAGTAACACTCTCTGTCTTGCCATACAATGCCAATCAAAAAGGAGAGGTGAGAAGGTGGTCAAGCTGCGGGTGGAAGAGATACTAAAAAGTACGTGTGAAGTCCCTCACTAAAAACTGAGCCTACTGCATGGTCAGTAAAATGAGCAAGGCAATACCCCAAAATGACAAAAAAAAAAAAAATGGTTTGGCCAACAAACAGAAATAGCTAAACATATCTTACTCCTTACAGCATGGAGTTAAAATCCTAGAAATGTGTCAAGATGCAGGAACAGTCCCCCAGTAAGAAGGGAGACTAGTGCTATTGCTGAAGAATACCATGTTCTCTTTAAGGGTGATTCCCAGTTTATTATCTAGGTGTACAGGGCAAAAGAATGAAAGAGATGAACTAAAAAGCAGGGCAGATTTGTCTTTGATGTTTGCAGCCACTGTTTCATTTGAGCTCTTCCAAAATCGTTCAAAA